GATGGTCAGTAAAAAAGCAAATAAACAAAGCACCCAATTCTAATCTCAACCTCCTGTACTTGGTGCGTAACCCCCCAGGTTACAGCGCTTCAGCTGCAGATCGTGCTAACTTTTAAAAGGGATGAAGATTTCTGCTTCCACCTTCAAATTCCAAACACCCGATAGAGGGACTATTGTAGGAGGACAGGTTGAATAAATTGGGCCTGTACTCATTGGAATTTAGAAGAATAAGAGATAATGAAACATACAAGATCCTTAGTGAGTTTGACAGGGTAGATGCGGAAAGGTTGTTTCCCCTTGTAGAAGAATCTAGGACCAGAGGACATAATCTCAGAATAAAAGATCACACATTTAATATTAATATTTAATACAGTCAAAGTGGAGATTCTTCTTTCAGTAGGTTGTGAATCTGTGGAATTCTTTACCACAGAGGTCTGGGTCATTCAAGACTGAGATAAATAGTTTTTTATTCATTGATTGATATTAAACAGCTGACTGGTTTAATTATGTTGACAAAATAAAATCAAGTTGCTCAATTAATTTACAAGGCAATTGGATAACTGTTAGAGAAAGAAGAATGTTAAAGAATGATGAGCAAGATAGGTTTGGCAAATCAGATATATGTAGACAGTGCCATTTAAAGTGCAGCACAAACACCATGGACCCCCTTCTGTAAATGGGGAAATACATCGCCAATTAACATTTAACCTTCTTCAGTTTTGTGGCCTCACATTTGGTAACTGTACAAGTCATTGCGAGTAGAATTTCACAGATGCAAGGAGTAAATTATCTCATGGAGCGTGTTCATAATTCTACTTTCTAATCCAACTGACTGGTTGTTGATGTGCCTTTTCATTTACAAATGAAAGGACAATTCCAGAAGAAAAGTGACTGGGGGCCAGTCATTAAAACATGTAATTTGAATTTGTAATTCAGGATATTAATCCTTTGAACATTTATGAATAAGTGCAAATTTCTGTGCCATACAGTCATAGAGTCCTATAGCATGGAGACAGGCCCTTTGCTCCTAACTGGTCCATGCTGACCAAAATGTCCATCCATGCTAACCCCATTTCTCTGCACTTGGCCCATATCCTTCTAAACCTTTCTCATCCATGTATTCGTCCAAATGCCTTTTAAATGTTGTTAATGTACTCGCCTCAACCACTTCCACCGGCAGCTCATTCCATATGCGTACCATTCTCTGTGTAAAAAAGTTGCCCCTCACGTTCCCGTGTATTCTTTCCCTCCTTACTTTAAACTGACACCCTCTAGTCCACGATTCCCCAACCCTGGGAAAAAGACTGAATGCATTCACCCTATCCATGTCTCTCATGATCTTATACTCTTCTGTAAGACCCCCCTCAGTCTTCTATGCTCTAAAGAAAAAAGTCCTAGCTTGTCCAACCTCTCCCTGTAACTCAATCCCTTGAGTCCTCGCAACATCCTTGTAAATTTCTTCACACTCCTTCCAGCTTAATACCATCCTTCCTGTAGTAAGGTGACCAAAGCTGAACACAATACTCCAAGTGTGGCCTTACCAATGTCCTGTACAACTGCAACATAACTTCCCAACTTCAATACTCAATGCCCTGACTGGTAAGGCCAATGTGCCAATAGTCTTCTTCACTGCCCTGTCTTCCTGTGACTTCACTTTCAGAGAACCATGGACCTGAACTCCAAAGTCCCTCTGTTCCACTACACTCCTTAAGACCCTACCGTTAACCATGAAACTCTGACCTTGATTCGATTTCCCAAAATGCAACACCTCACACTTATCTATATTAAACTCCATTTGCCATTTCTTGGCCACTTCCCCAGCTGATCAAAATCCTGCTGCAATTTCTGATAATCCTCTTCACTGTCCACAATACTGCCAATGACAATTTTAGTGTCATCCACAAACTTATTAATCATAGATAACAAACAGCAATGGGCCCAGCGCTGACCCCTGAGGCACACCACTAGTCAAAGGCTTCCAGTCAGACAAGCATCCTTCCACTATTACTCTTTGCTTCCTGCCATCAAGCCAATCGCATATCCAATTTGCCAGGTGTCCCTGGAGTCCATGTGATCTAATCTTCCAGAGCAGCCTACTATATGGAACCTTATCAAAAGCCTTACTGAAATCCATATAGGCTACATCTAATGCCCTACCCTCATCAACATTCCTGGTCACCTCATCCAAGAACTCTAACAAATTTGTGAGGCATGATCTCCCACACACAAGGCCATGTTGACTACTCCTAATCAAACCCTGTCTTTCCAAATGCATGTATGTCTTATTCCTCAGAATCTTCTCCAGTAACTTACCAACCACAGATGTTAGGCTTACTTGTCTATAATTCCCAGGTTTTTCTTTGTAGCCCTTCTTGAATAAGGGCACAACATTTTCTACCCTATAGTCTTATGGCTAACCCATGGCTAACGATGATGCAAATATATCAGCCAGGGCCCCCGCAATTTCTTCTCTAGCCTCTCGCAGAGTTCTTGCATGTATCTGATCAGGACCAGGTTGACTTATCTACCTTCATATATTCTAAAACTCCCAACACCTCCTCTACCGTGATATGGACTGTCCCTAAGATATTGCCACTAACTTCCCCAAGTTCCCAAATTTGCATGTCTTTCTCCATGGTAAACACAGAAGAGAAATATTCATTGAGGACCTCACCCATCTTCTGCAGTTCCACACATACATGTCCACTTTGGTCCTTGAGGGGTCCTATTCTGTCTCTAGTTATTCTTCTTTCTTTAACATACTTAAAGAATCTCTTTGGATTCACCGTAATCTTCTCAGCCCAAGCTATCTCGTGCCCCCTTTTCGCCCTCCTGATTTCCTTCTTCAGTAAACTCCTGTATCCCCTATATACATCCAGGGATTCCCTTGATCTCAGCTCCCTGCTCCTGAGTCATGCCTCCTTCTTTTTTCTGGCCAAAGCCTCAATATCTCTTATCATCCAGGGTTCCCTACTCCTGCCAACCTTGCCCTTCACCCTCACAAGAACATATAGACCTTGAACTCTAGCTGTCATGCTTTTAAAGGCCTCCCACTTGCCAGAGGTCCCTTTGCCAACATAAAAACTACTCCAATCAACCCTGCAAGCTCCTGTCTAATTCCATCAAAATTCACTTTTCCCCAATTAAGAACTTGAAGCTGTGGATGGTTTTGTCCCTCTCCTTAACTATTTTAAAATTAATAGAACAATGGTCACTGGTCCCAAATTGCTCCCCTATGTCACCTCAGTCACCTGTCCTGCCCTATTTCCCAAGTGTAGGTCACATTTTTCCCCTTCCTGAGTAGGACTTCTTACTGCTTGAGGAAATTTTCCTGAACACATTTAACAAATTCCACCCAATCTAAGCCCTTAACACAATTGTAGTCCCAGTCTATATTAGGAAAATTAAAATTCCCCACTATGACAATCCTATTTCTCCTGCAAGTCTCCTTAATCCCCCTGCATATTTGTTCCTCTAATTCCCGTTAACTAATTGGGAGCCTGTAGTATAAGCCCAATAATGTCACCATCGCTTTCTTATTACTTAGCTTTACCTATAAAGCCTCACTGGATGACCCCTCAGTTATTTCATCTCTGACTGCTGCTCTGATACTCCCCTTAATTAAAAAAGCAACTTCCCCTCCCCTCTTTCCTCCACCTGTGTCCCACCTAAAGCACCTGTACCTTCGCACATTAAGCTTCCAGTCCTGTTCCTCTCTTAGCCATGTTTCTGTAATAGCTATAATATCCCAGTCCCACGTACATATCCACACCCTGAGTTCATTGGCCTTACCTGTCAGCCCTCTTGCATTGAAATAGATGCAATTTAATCCAACAGGCATTCCTCGCTCTCTGTCCTGTTCCAACCTGACCTGTCTCTTCAACTTGCTATTTCCGATTCCTGTCTCTCCTTCCAGCCTCGCACTTGCCTCCCTGCAGTTGAGGATCCCACCCCCTGCCAATCTAGTTTAAACCTTCACTTGTAGCACTAGCCAATCTGCCCACCAGGATATTGGTCCCCCTTCCAGTTCAGGTGCAACCTGTCCATCTTGAACACATCACCTCTGCCCCAGGAAAGATCCCAATGTTCCAGGAATCTGAATTCCTTCCCCCGCACCTATTCTTTAGCCACACATTCATCTGCCATATCCTCCTGTTCTTACTCCCACTAGCATGTAGCAGTGGAAGTAATCCACAATTACCATTGTCGAGATCATGGTTTTTAATTCATTTCCTAGCTCTTTATAATCACTCCACAGGACCTCATCTCTATTTCTATCCAATTCATTTGTGCCAACGTACACGATGACTTCTGGCTGCTCACCATCTCCCTTGAGAACGATTTGTAGCCACTCTGAGACATCCTGGGCCCTGGCACCTGGGAAGCACCACACCATCCTGGATTCCCCTCTGTGGCCACAGAAACTCCTGTCTGTCCTCCTAACTATTGGGTCTCCTATCACTAAGATCCTGTTTACTTTTACCCTTTCCTACTGTGCCCCAGAGCCAGTTGTAGTGCCAACAACATGGCTACTGCTGCTTTCCCCTGAACTGTCATCCCTCCCAACAGTATCCAAAACGGCATACTTGTTTTCGATGGGAATAGCCACAGGGGATTCCTGCACTCTCTTCCTACTCCCTTTGCCTTTCCTGGAGGCCACCCAGCTACTCTCTGCCAGCACATGGGGTGTGACCACCTCACTAAAACTCTTATCTATGATGCGCTCAGTATCTGGAATGATCCTGAGTGCATCCCGCTCCAGCTCCATGCCACACTTGCACCAAACTGAAGAAAGCAGAACAACATGAGAGCAGTCGGTTCCTGCAGAGTAGGTAGAAGCATTCATCTTCTGAGAACTTGTTAGATCCAGTGGAGGTGTTTGGAACATAGGAATCACTAGACAATGGAAATCGCGAGATCGACGTATTTCACCCTCCATTGCTGGATCTCTGCAAAGCCAGCTGCTCAGTAGTTCTAAAAGCGACTATTTTCTGTTTCAGTTTATCATGCTGACTTACATCTTCATGCTGGCATGGCTGGGAGTGACAGCCTTCACCTCACTGCCTGTCTTCATGTACTTCAACATCTGGACACTCTGTCAGAACATCACCGTCATGGAGTCCATTGACCTCTGCTTTGATATTCGTCAGTTTGGTATGTCACTGCCTGTGCTGAGTGATAGAATAAGAACATGGAAGCATATTTTATTCTTCGGTGTGATTGGTCATTTTTTTTTTTCCCTTCACCCCACTTTCAGTGATCAATTCCTCAGGCTCCACTGGTCTCTAGTCTCTGTGTCAGCAGATCTCAAACCCAGAGCCGTGAACGTAAAAAAATCAGTCTGACACTTCCCAGGGTTGAAGTGCAACTTTCAGATAACTCATTGAGCTGTGGTCCTACTTGCCTTCTCAGGTGGCTGTAAAATATCATGTGATAATATTTCAAAGAAGAACAAGGGAGTTCTCTGCCCTGTCCTGGTCCATATATATCAAGCAATCAACATTAATAATACAGATCTTCCAGTCATTATCTCACTTTTTGTTTGGGATAAGCAATTGCTGCATTTTCCACATCACACAGCAGTAACTACATGACAAAAGTAAAGCTCATTGGGATGCCTGGAGGCCAATAATCAGTACAATATAACTGTAACTCTTTCTTCATTTCCTTGGTCAACTGTGGCTTATTCAGTAACCCTCTTCTGAACTCTGACTGCGGGTTCAAGTCCCAATTCTTGTCTTGGGCATAAAACTTTAAGGTTGCCACTCTGCTGTAGTACTAAATTATTGCTGCCATCCTAAGGATGAGACATTCAAATGAGCTGATGTAAAAGACACTGCAAAAAAAAGCGTTGTTGAGAAAGAGCAGAGGAATTATTCCTGGATGTCTGGATAATATTTGACCCTTAACTGACACCAGAGAAACAGGTTATCTCGTTATTATGAATTTCTGTTGGTGGGAGCTCTCTGTCCATAAACTGATTACCCTCTTTCCTGTGCTACAACAGTCATTACACTTGAGGTTGGCTGTAAAATGCTTTAGAGAAAGTTTGTGAAAGACTGTGTCGGAAAGCAAGTCTTTCTTTATTCATTTTTCTCTCTCTCCCATAATGTCCCAAATCTTGAGGCAGTCAGCTGATTGTTTGCAAATTCCCTGTGGATGCTGCTCAATAATTGATAGCTGGAAGACTTACCAGAGCAATCGGAATCAGGGTAACCGATCAGAACTTGCTGAATTACAGTAGTAAGGCTGTGGATTCTTAATGATGCTTGGTTAACAGAGCTTTCTGTTTCAGGTATTGTGCCTATTCATGAGCCGAAGATGGTCTGCACTTTGAATGAGAACTTCAACAAACTCTGCCAATCCAACGATGTAAGTCCATTTCTGAGTTCATAGCTTGGGCTACTTTACACAAAATTCATAAGGTCCTCGTGACATTGAATTCTGCTGAAGATTCCATATAAATAAATGGTGCGATCATTGATGTATATTCAGGGATCTTGCCCATATGGTTACAGAGAAAATTCAAAAACCTTCATTGGACCTTCATTTTGCAAGCCTCCAGAAACCTCATTTTCTGTCCTGCTTCTTTATCACACTTTTGTTTTCCACTGAAGTTAGTCACTAGTTGCATAAAGTAGTTGTGCGTTCTGGCCATGAGGTAGCAATATTTACCTCTCGACTCTGTCATGTGGGGCTGGGATTTTTACATTACTAGCATGGCCTAAACAAAATGCAAGGCATTTTACTCTGGGTTACTTATCTGTCCAGGTTGCTCTAAGTTCGATTTTAACAGATGACTCCGGGCTAAACTGGGATTTTTGCCAAAGTGCTGCAAAGGCTAAGGCAGAAATGTCTTGATTTGGTAGACTCCTCCTTTAAAATGTCTGCAGTATATCATATTTTAGTTCTGGGAAGGACGGGACAGGACACAGTTAGAACTGACTCTTGTGGCGGTAGTTTGAGAGCAGCAACAAAGACATGCAAGAGCCAAATTGGACTGCATAACAGGCCCACCTCAGCTCTCTGAGATCTCAGTGCAGTTGCGTTAAAAGCTGGTACGCCATCTTGCCCTCATCCCTCATAGTACCTGACCCCTCCATGTCCCAATGTCCCTTCCATTCCCCTCCATGCTCCTCATGTCCCATTCACATGTCCACTGAATTCCCATTCCCCCTCCATTGTCCCTCACATTCCTCATGTCACACCCAAGTCATTATATATTCCCCATACTCCCTCCATATATTCTCTTTAGCCACTAACCTAAGACACAGTATATGATGTGGAGGTGTCGGTGTTGGACTGGGATGGACAAGGTCAGAAGTCACATGACACCAGGTTTTGGTCCAACAGTTTTATTTGAAATCACAAGCTTCTGGAGTGCTTCAGATTTCAAATAAAACCTGTTAGACTATAACCTGGGGTCGTGTGACCTCTGACCTCAGACACAACAACAGCAGACATCAGGAGACACGCGTATGCAGATGAAAGAATGTCTCATAATCTGATAGAGCTCGCATTCAAATGTGCTTCACGATGACACCAAAATCTCAATCGTAAAGTCCATTCAAAGCAGTATAAATCCCATGAACTGTTTGATCTATTGTAAAAACAATGACAAATCTGTCTTACGCATCAGATAAAAGGCAGATAACCATTCAAGTGATTTTTAAAACAATAAGTTAAATTGTGAACAGTGATCTCTGCTGAGATCAGTGGTTGTCTATGTTGTGAAACTGAATCAAAGCATTCACAATGTGCTGATCAGTAAAACCAAACCTTGGGACATCCAAACAATGGAGTCTATCGCAATTGTACAAACCAATAACTTATCTTTTCTCTAAGCAACACCAGATAGCCTGCTATTCAATTCACTTCAGCAGCACATTTTTTTTTACCTTAAGTGAAAGCTGCAAACATTTCTTTTGGAATTGGTAATTTAAGCCACTTCTGACACTGTGAGAAACTAGAATAGAAAATGGTAAGTTAACAGGTGGCATTGGAATAAGGGAGAAATTAAGCATTATAAATCAGATTCACAATGCATCAATGTGAATTTACAGAATATAATAAATAAAACTGGGAAAGTTACAGGTACAGATTGCTAAATGGAATTATGATCTGTTGGATATAACAGTGACTTGATTCAAGGAGGAGCAGGAGTTTGGTGTTAAATATTCTTGGTCACAAGGTATGCAGAAAAGAAAGAAAATTAAAGAGGTGGCAATATTCTCTAAGGAGAGAATTTCACTGCTAGAAAAAAAGAGAATGTTTCAGAGGGTCAAGTAGAGAATTGACTTGGATAGAGCCCAGGAACAAACAGGTACAATTGCATTGCCTGTTGTACTCTATAGGTGACCAGCCAGTGGGAGGGAGGTAGAGGAACAAATCTGCAAGGAACTACTTAAACAGGCTCAAACATTAGAGATTAATCAGAATGGAGGACTTTAATATTCCAAATTTCGGCTGCATACGGTAGGTGGTGGTGTAAAGAACAGAAAGGGGCAAGTGTTCTGAGATTGTATTCAGGAGAATTTTCCACAGATCATGTGACCAACTCTAGATGAAAAGAGGCACTGCTTAACCTGATTTTTGGCAACGGGGTGGATAAGTAGAACAAATGTCAGTGGGAGAATGTTTTGGGAAAACTGACAAATATATCATAAGCTTTCAGAAGACAGCGGAAAACAACAATGAACAATCCAGAATAAGAATAATTAACTTGGGGAGAATCAACTTCCATGGGGCACAAACAGAGTTGGATTGGTAGACAGGACCCAAAAGTTCAAAGAAGAGATGGTTCGGGCACAATCAAGGTCAATTTCTTCCAGAGGTAACAGTAGGGAAAACAAATCTAAAACTCCTTGAATGTAAAAGGAAATAGAAATTAAGAAAAGGAATAAAAATATGCCAATGACTGGCAAACAAAAAAAATGCAAACTGTGAGGAATGCAAAAGATTCTTAAGGGAGGTAAAAGAGCAAATATCAGAAGCAAAGAGGAATTGTGAAAAGAAACTAGCAGTTAACATAAAAGGGAATCCAAAATGATTTGAGATGCACATAGTTAGGAAATGGATGGTAAAGGAGGAGTAAGGCCAATTAGCGACCAAAAAGGAAATTGAAACATGGAGACAATAGGCACAGCTGAGGTATTAAATGATTATATTGCATCTGGCTTTATGAAAGAAGCTCTGTCACTAGAAATGTTCAAACTTAATAAGGAAGTAGTATTGGATAGTGTGAGAGGTTGACAAGGCACCTGAACCAGATGAGATACATCCTAGGATAAGGAAGAAAGTGAGTGTGGAGATTGAAGAGACATTAGTTATGATTTTTCAGACTTCTTTAGACTCAGGAATGGTGTCAAAGCCTGAGGAGTGGAAAAATTTACACTTTTTTTTCACAGGAATTGGCAAGACAATTATTGATTAGTAAGTTCAACTTCGATGGTGGAGAAACTTCTGCAAACAAAACATTAGGATGGAAGTAATAGTCATATGGACAAATGGAAATTAATTAGAGAGAACCAGCAGGAATTTCCTGAAGGAAAATCATGTTTAACCAACTTGCTAGAGCTAAGAGAAAGGTTTGATGACCACAATTCTGTTGGGGTTTCATGCATGGATTTCCAGAAGGTATTATGACACAGTGCAACATAACAAATGGATGAGCAAAGTTTGTGCTTAATCTATAAGAGGGCCAGCAGCAACATGTATACAAAATTGGCTGTGAGAGTGATAACAAACAGAGTAATGGTTTGCAGTGGAATTTCCCAGAGGTCAATATTAAAATCTTGTGTTTTTCCTGATACATAGCAATGATCTAGACCTTGGTGTACAGCAAACAACTTCAAAATTTGTGGATGATACAAAACTTGAGAACATTGTTAACATTGAGGGGGACAGTGTAGAACTTCAAAAGGACATTGACCAGTTGGTGGAGATGGCAGGTAGGTCGGATAGATGACAGTCAATATGGAGAGGTGTGAGATGATATATATATAGGTAGAAATAACATAGACAGTACAAAATAAAAGATATTACTCTAAAGAGTATGCATCAGCAGAGAGACCTAACAATAAATGTGCATAATTCATTAAAGATGACACAGAGCAATTAATAATGCACACTGTATCCTTGGTGACATTAATTGAGGCATAATGTAAAGACCATAATATAAAGGTTTTCTGAACTTATATAAAACACAAATTAGATCTCAGCTGAAGTACTGTGTACAGTTTTGGATACCACACTTCTGGATGGATGTGGACATATTGGAAACAGTACAGAAGAATTATACAAGAATGGTTCCCCGAGTGAGAAACTTCAGTTATGAAGATAGATTAGAAAATTTTGAATGTTTTTCTTGGTGAGGAGATTTGAAAGAAGCTTCAAAAATCATGAGGGGTCCAGACAGAGAGAAAGTGTTCCCACTCATAAAAGAATCAAGAACAATAGGACACAGATTTAAAGTAATTTGTAAAAAAGCCTAGTTCTGAAATGCACTGCCTAGAAGTGTGGTAGGGTCAAGTTCTACCTGAAGCATTCAAGAGAATATTAGATGACTATTTGAAAAGAAGCCATATGTAGAATTATGAGGAATAGGCAGGAGAATGGCACTGGCAACAAAGCTGATATGGTGAGGCAATGCAGGTACAATGGCCAAATGGCTAGAAGTACGCAAATGTCAGAGGAGTGTTTCTGGGTAGTTTTTGCTCCCTTCCAGGACACTCCACAAGTTATGTCCTTTAAGTAAACTCTTTAAGACCTAACTGTTTGACCAAGCTTTTGGTTATATGGTTAAGAAATGGGTTGAGTGGCAGGACACAGAGGGTGGAGATCATGGGCAGTTACATTAATTGACAGTGACATAATCAGCAGTGAATGGCATGGGCCTCAACATTCACCACATTTATTATCAGCTTAAATTATGGGATTGAAAGCCACATTCCAAATTTGCTGATAACATATAGATAGGTTAATGTTAGCTTTATAGCTGGGAGCAAAGAAAAATGTAGAAAGTGCTAGATTCAGGAAAGTGATCAAAATTGTTGAAAATGATCTCAATATAACGAGATCATCCACTTTGAACGTAAACATGGTAGAACACATTCTAAATGATAAAATGTTAAAAACAGCAAGCGGGATCAGTGATTTGGGTGTCCGTGTGCATAGAATATTGCAATGTGATTAAAAGATTCAGAAAGTATTCATAGAACCGAACGGAATGCCGATCTTTGTATCGAGAGGATTTGATCAGGACGGGGTAGAAGTCATGACTCAGCTGCCTAGAGCGCTGTATAATCTAACCTGAAGTGCTGTGAGTAGTTCTGGGAATTCATATTAGGACGGGTATATTTGTTTTGAAGGGGGTGCAGCATAGGTTTGCTGGAATGATACCTGGAATACAATAGATAAGTTACAAGGCAATATTATACAAACTATTATTGTGTGATTGTGTAATTTGGAATGTCCGAGGTAATTTGATTGATTTTGAGATATGGAAGGGCACAGCTAAGATAAATAGAGAAAGCCTATTTCCATTTTGTAATGGAGCCTAGGACTGGGGGGTGGGGGTGGGATGGTGTGCAGAATAGTGTCCAGTCTTACAGGAAGGAATATAGGAATTATTTTCACACAACAAACTGTGATGGTTGTTCAGAGCTTTCTTCTGCAAATAGCAATTAATGGAAATCAATTGATAATTGTAGAACTGTGCTTGATAGTTTTGTTAGCCTTATTTCCAGTGGATAATGGGCCAAAGAGTTGGTTGTGGAGTTAGGTTGCAGGTCAGCCATGAGCTTATGGATTAACATAACAGCCTTGAAGGGCTGTATGTCCTACTCCTATCTTACATTCTCACATTCTCCAAGTTGTTAATAGGCACACTAACTAAGAGCTGTGAACTGAGCAAGTCTGTAAGTAGAGTGAAATCTGAAGCATTGATGTTTCCCAGTAAAAGCCATTCAAAAGAGTCTGCTACATGCAGTCTATTCTCAGTGAAAGCCAGCATGACATTTCTCTACAGCTGCTGTGGAATTGAGTTATTACAAAGATATCTGCTGAAAGGTTGCTTTTCATCTTTTTCTAAACACAACTTCTGGGATCAATTCAAGATGAGAAAACACTTGAAAGTACTTTACGTGAGGTTGGAAAATGCTCAGAAGATCCAAACCCATACCTGCCGCTGCCAAATACCCTGCCTACAGCTCATAAACCTGGAATTATGCTCCTACCTGTTGGAATGTCACTTCTGTTCCATTACCCTGGAATCAGATGCCAAAAGGTTTGGGGAAGTGTCATCGGACCTGAAACATTAACTCTGATTTCTCTTTAGAGATGCTGCCAGACCTACTGAGTTTTTCAAGCCATTTCTGTCTTTGTTAAAGGTTTGGAGCAGTCGATGGGAGAGGGGGATGGAAAATTGGGGTTACTGCTCATTTTGAGCCAATGCAAGTTCCTTGATGAGCCTGTCAAAAGATGCTAAATTGTGCATATTAATTTCAAAAGTATAAAGTAACCATAGAGCTGCTCTCTCTCATTAGGCAGAGTCAACTGGTGGTGAATATAACCTAAGGATCACCTTGCCTCAAGTGAGGGGCAAGGTCAGGACTTCTATGGTGACCTCAGTTGATGTGGGAGTTGAAGCCATTCTGTTAGCATTATTCACCAACTGTCCAGCCAACCGAGCTGTCCCACTCCCGGGGAGTCAAACCTGGGTTGGCAGCAAAAGAGCAGGACAGTCAAGACAGTACCAATTATGTTTTGAATAACTGAGATTAAGTCTGGGTTGGCAAGCTAAGTGAGTGTTGAAATTCTATAAAGTGATATGGCTCGCAGTGTTTCTATAACTTCCCTATTGTTAAATCGCTGTTACATCACCTTGTTTAATGAAGCAAATTGAGCTAATAATGATTTGAATTGATTTATTATTGTTACATGTACAGAAATACTGTGAAAATATTGCTTTGCATGCTATTCAGCAAGATTATATCATACATTAGGTCATTAGAGTAATCAAACAGAATGCAGAATAGTTCCAGCTGCAGAGAAGGTGCAGCAAGAGATCAACTTTGAGAGGTCCATTTGGAAGTCTGATAACAGTGGGGAAGAAGCTGTACTCGAATCTGTTGGCCCGTGTTTTCAAACTTTTGTTTTTTCTGCCCAACTGAAGAATTAGAGTTAGAATTAGATTTATTGTCACCTGTACTCAAGTTACAAAAAACAGGAGCAGTGAAAGGTGTACAATGTCGCCAACACATAGGGCCATCTTAGGTTCAAAGTACTTAGGTACAAATCTTAGATACAAAAAGTAGAGAAAATAAAGAAAAAATGTCACACTTCATCACAGATATACATAGTATAAGTGAGGAAAATAAAAAATAAAGCTAAAAAACATAACGGTCTTTCGATAAGAGGGTGGAAGAGCATATAGCCAGGGTGGGACAGGTGTATGCTTATATTGGCTGGTTATATTGCCAATTACATTTGATTATATAGTTCGATGAGTTGGAAGTGTGGCAATCTTGGTTATGTTTTCACCAGGTTTTTGATTTCCTGTTTGAATATCTCACGCTATTTCATTATTTTCTCCTAGTTGAACATGACATTCCATTTGTTCATTGTGGCACTGGCTGGAGCAGGAGCAGCAGTCATTGCTATGGTGAGTGAAAAACTGAGACCACTGTCAGCCTTTAGATGTGGCATAACCTGCACGTTGAAGGGTACAATAAAGACCTTAGTTCACCTCATTAGAGCTGTGTTAGCCCACAAATATCGACATAACCTCGAGTGTGAATGAAGTCAAATCAATAAGAAATGTTTGAAAAGGTGTATTTATTTTCCAATGGAGACAGACATAAATCCCCAGTAACTGGATTTACAAGAGCAATGGATAGTGACACAGGATTGTTTTTTTTGACTGTGGGATAAACTTATTGACTTTGACAATGTGAGGTTTGATTCTGTGTCACAGAAGACAATCTCAGGGGTAGCAGCTGGAGTTTCTTTCTTTCAGCAGTTATTTACCAGCAAGGCTCAAATCAGCAGTATTGGACATGCAATAAATTTTACCTGAACCCACCTTGGAATTAAAGGAGGACATTTCTAGGCAGAATTGCGTTGCTTTGTTTAGGAGAAATGCAACTTGGAGCTTTCTTTGTATTTATACTTATATCTGGATGGTAACCAATTAGGTGACTTGAATAGTTGAGGAATCTTGTCCGTAAGTGGGTTACATGTTTATACATTGTTGCACAGAAAAAAACTGGTATTAAATTCTGCACATGTTGTTTGAAAATGGCAACTTATAGAACATAGAACAGTATAGCACAGTACAGGCCCTTCGGCCCACGATGTTGTGCCGAACTTTTGCCCTAAACCTAAGGCCTATCTAACCTCCACCGCTACGTTATACTATCATCCGTATGCCTATCTAATAGCCGCTTAAATCCCCCTAATGAGGCTGACTCCACTACCCTCTCCGGCAATGCATTCCACACCCCGACCACTCTCTGAGTAAAGAACCTACATCTGACATCTCCCCTATATCTACCTCCACTTACTTTAAAACTATGACCCCTCATAATAGCTACCTCCACCCAAGGAAAAAGTCTCCGACTGTCCACTCTATCTATACCTCTGATTATTTTGTACACCTCTATCAAGTCACCTCTCATCCTTCGTCGTTCTAAAGAGAAACGCCCTAACTGTCTCAATCTTTCCTCGTAAGACCTTCCCTCCATTCCAGGCAACATCCTGGTAAATCTCCTCTACACCTTTTCCAACACTTCCACATCTTTCCTGTAATGAGGCAACCAGAACTGGACACAATACTCTAGATGTGGCCGAACCAGGCTTTTGTATAGCTGGAGCATAACTTCACAGCTCTTGAAATCAATCCCTCTATTAATGAAAGCTAACACACCATACGCCTTCTTAACAACTCTATCCACCTGGGTGGCAGCTTTCAGGGAACTGTGGACATGAACTCCAAGATCCCTCTGATCCTCCACACTGCCAAGAATCTTTCCATTAACCCTGTATTCTGCTTTCAAGTTTGTCCTTCCAAAATGAATCACCTCACACTTTTCAGGGTTAAACTCCATCTGCCACTTCTCAGCCCAGCTCTGCATCCTATCAATGTCCCTTTGTAACCTAGAACAGCACTCCGCACTATCCACAACTCGACCCACCTTCGTATCGTCTGCGAACTTACTAATCCACCCTGCCACTCCTACATCCAAATCATTTACAAAAATCACAAATAGAAGAGGACCCAGAACAGATCCTTGTGGTACACCACTCGTAACTGAGCACCATGTGGAATATTTTCCGTCCATTACCACCCTTTGTCTTCTAAGGGTCAGCCAATTCTGAATCCAATCTGCCACATTTTTTCCCCCATCCCATGCCTCCTTACTTTCTGCATGAGTCTACCATGGGGAACCTTATCAAATGCCTTACTTAAATCCATGTATACCACATCCACTGCTCTACCTTCATCTACGTGTTTGGTCACCTCTTCAAAGAATTCAATAAGGTTTGTGAGGCATGATCTACCCCTCACAAATCCATGCTGACTATCACGAATCAAACTGTGCCTATCCAAGTGATCATAAATCCTATCTCTCAGAGCCCTTTCCAATAATTTGCCCATCACTGAAGTAAGACTAACTGGCCTGTAATTTCCGGGGTTATCCCTATTTCTTTTTTGAACAAGGGAATGACGTTTGCCTCTCTCCAATCTTCCAGCACTGTACCCGTGGACAATGAGGATGAAAAGATCATCGCCAAAGGCCCTGCGATCTCTTCCCTCGTTTTCCATAGAATCCTTGGATAAATCCCATCAGGCCCAGGGGACTTATCTATCTTCAACTTCCTCAAACTTCCAAGTACATCTTCCCTACTAACATCCACCTCCTCTAGCCTACCAGCCTGTCTCACATTGTCCTCCTCTACAACTAGGTCCCTCTCAGTTGTGAATACTGAAGAAAAGTATTCATTCCAGACCTCTCCTATCTCTTTAGGGTCCGTGCACAAATTCCCTTTACAATCCTTGTACGGCCCTCCCCTTTCTCTGGTCATTTTCTTATTCCTCACACATGTGTAAAAAGCCTTGGAGTTTTCCTTGATCCTGTCTGCCAAGGTTTTCTCATGCCCCCTTATAGCTCTCCTAAGCCCTTTCTTCAGCTCCTTCCTGGCTAACTTGATTCCTCTAGAGCCTTTACTGATGACTATGATGCAACCAAGTCTTCTACAACTTGTTTGGTCAGAGAGGTCTTCTAATGTTTCAAGCACAGCAAAAATAAATCAAAGTTATTTACTTTTCTTTCTCATCATTGCAATTTTTCATGCATTTCTAATATTAAACAGTTAACTTATCACTATTTGGCACCTATAGGACCAGGAATGTGCTGATTGATCAAATATTCCAAATTATCAAGAGGCCCATGTAATCAATATAAAAACACACTAAGTAGTAGAAATGTGATGTAGGGGATATACACCCCACTGTTGTACTTTATTTACAGCATAAATCACTTAAATAATAATGCAACTTTGTCTTAAATGAAGCATCCTGGCAGAGAGCCTTCTCACTTACACGCTTAACTGACTACTTGGACATCACAGAGATCTTGATAATACAGCAAATTTCCAGTATTTCAGGTATACAACTTCTGCTGGTTTATCGAGAGAGCCTGTTCACAACGTGACAGTTAAAATAAAGTTTGATGCATATCTATGGGTTTCAGGCTGGCACCAAGCCTTTGGAGTCATCAAACGGAAAGCTGTTTCAGGTGTCATTCGGTTATCACATACATGACTGTAAATTCCGATTTTAACAGGCATAATATTTGAGTATCCTGTAGCTGATCTACCTCCTTTGCTCCTCACCTCATGGTCCCCATCCCACCTCTTCCCTTCTCCAAAAGAGCTAGGTTCAGCACAGTTAACAGGACTGCTAATCCACAGCTGTACCCTGCCATGGAAGTTTCACAATTTAAGCTTGCATCTTTATTAATTTTTTAAAAAGTACATGGATAATGATTTAAAATACTGGCTTTTAGTAGAAGTAACCATGGAGCTGTGGATTGCTGTTAAAAATAGAATCCTGCTGATTCAGTAATTTATCTGATGGAGAAAATCTGACACCCTTACCTACTCAGTCAACCAATGCTCTTGAGGGATGGAAATCTGTCATCCTTACTTGGTCTGGCTCCAGACTCGCAGCAATGTGATTAACTCTTACCTGCTTTCTGGGCAATAAATGATGTCCTAGCCAGCAACACTCACATTTCACGAACAAATATATTAAAAAAATGAATAACTTCTACCCCAGATCAAGGTGACTGACTCTGGACTAACATCTGAAGTGGCCCAACAAAGCTTATTTTTTAATTCATTCACAAGATGAGGGTGTCACTGGCTACGCCAGCATTTTTGCCCATCCCTAATTGCCCATAGGCAGTTAAAAGTCTACCACATTACTCTGTGCCTGGAATCACATGTAGACTAGAATAGGGATGGATGGCAGTGTCCTTCCTTAAAGGACATTAACGAACCAGATAGGTTTCTCGTGGTCATCACGACTTCCAACTCCTGATTTTTATCGAATTCAAATTCCACCATCTGCCATGGTGGAATTCCAGCTCAGGTCCACAGAACCTTACCTGAGTCTCTGGATTAACAGTCCAGTGATAATATCACTAGGCCATCACCTCCCCTTTAAATTACACAAAGCCACTTAACAATAGGCAATAAATCCTGATCTTTTCAAAAATGCACTTGTGCTGAGAACAACTTTTAAAATAGTGTAAATAAAACCAGACCTTTACAGAAAATAGTTAAATGTTCTTTCAAGGATGTGAAGTCTTTACAGGGGGTTGAGAGCAGGTTTAGGTTTTGAAAGAGCTGGCATATCACAATAAGCCGACAGACTGACTGCTGTGCAGCTTTATTCAATGATCCCATGATGCTCCCATCAAGAGGTGCAGGAATTCTGATTTGAGTGCAGACAATAATAATAATCACATTGCACAAGGAGGAGACTCTGCGACATGCAATGTAGTCAACTATAGTACCATTGTGTTGCTACCGTACATTTCGAACAGCAGCTGAATGGTAAGCATTTATTTATTTTTAATACCTTCAATCTCACAATGCTGTGGGTTTTCTGGCAGTGAAGATTTGTGAGTGATAATCAACGACGCTCACGCATGGCTGAAGCTATTTTTCTCAAGATGTACCCATGCAGTAATCTTTCTTCTGCCAGTTGCTTGCTAGATGACACTTTCACAGCAGGATTAGATTGTGCATCATAATTCACACTGTGCAATCAGGCTGTTGCTGACCCTGATCCCAGTTGTCAAAGGACTTGATCCGCTCCACCAGGTGCACAAGCTGCCAAGTCACTTTGGTATTTAATGTTTCAAACCTCTTTTTTCAGGCTGGTAATATTTTGGTTCCCTTGCCCTATGTCACCCTTCACATAATGGCTGAGACTGGGAAGGTGGCATGTGGACAAAGACCGTTGCTGTCAAGAAAGCATAGTCACATTTGCAAAAGGCCCAATGATGTGCGCAAAAATAATTATACTTTGCATTAAATTATCTTAGATAAATGCTAACTATGTTATTTAGCAAGCATAATAACAGAGGATTG